TACCTCTTCACCGTGCTTTTGTTTCAAATTTGCTTCCCAAACAGGCTGTTTGTCGGTGCCTGTTTGTAAAGCACATTTAAAACAAAGGCTAGGTAGTTCTTACATTTTGGGTAGGTACTAAACTTCACAGAAAAACTATTTTTTTTTCAAGCGTATAACAATTTTCATACACAGAAAAAACGCTAGCATAGCATGAATGGGTGAGCCATTAAACCAATGGGATCTTGTAATCCGTATTCCTGAATAACAGTTCCTATAATACCAATAGGTAGTTAGCACTTGGTTTATAATCGTTAACTGTTTTTAAATTAATAACAAAAGTTATCGCTCCTAAATCTATTGATATTCATATTGATATTTATTTGTTATAATGGTAGAATGTTATTGCATTAAATACTAATTTGATTTATTTAATAACGTTACTATTGTATGTACGAGTATACTATGTATACATTTAACGCAATAAATTCTTTGACATTTAGGCAAAATATTTCCCTATTTTGGTTTAATAGTAATTAATTGAGCAAATAACAATTTAGATTGCTTTAATTTTAATGCATTCAATGACAGCGCTGTTCTTGCTACTATGTTAGATTTTTTTCTGTGTATTATAACAATCACACCTTTATAGAAAAATATCATATTTGTATGCAGTTTATATATATATATAATTATATAATAATTATTAAACACCTAGTACAATAACAAAAATATATTAAAATTACATAGATAGAGTGGTTTATCTATGAGTCATTCTATAATTTTTCACCAAATTTCACAAAAATTTAAAGCTGACCTCATTGGATTTTCTTAAAACTTTCAGGGTGTAAAGACCAATGCTTAGGATGAACAAAAACCACAATAATATTTTAAACACCCTGAGAAAGTAGGCTTTGTTGACCGGTTTGCATAAAAAATTACCAAATTGGTGTCTAAGAAAATCCTTTATAACTTAGTTGTTTATTAATATTTTGTATCGCGTAATATTTTGTTTTAACCATAAAACAATGTACTTTTTAAATATATGCCTAAAATTATACAAATGTTTTTACAAATGCAGTTTTTTTAGTGCTAAATTTACGCTTCTTTTAACTGAAAATGACAATTTTCTACCGTTGATATTATCTAGTATGCTATGAAAATTTGATTTGGTGTATATTTTTATGTAAAGTAATTATAAATATTATTTAAAATATAAAATGCAAAATATATAAAAAAAAGTATCGGCAAATTGCAGGAAATGCCATCTTAATTATGAAAATTTCCCATTTTTGGCGAAAAAAAATGCATTTTTTCGTCCGGAGGGATTGAACGAAAATTCTTCAAAATTTAACAGAATGTTCTCCTCAATATAAACTAAAAACTGTAAAAAAATTGTTTTGTGTATATGCCTTGCTAGGAAGATACAACGGTTTAAAATACCATAAATTGTATAGAAAATGGAATTACTTTCATGTTATTTTTTATCAAGATGGCTTTGATAAAAAAAATGCTATTTAAAGGTGTGAAAAAGTAATATTAAATAGTAAAAATTAAGCACCTCGTCAAAGTTTTTTGTTTTGAGTGCGTTCCACCAACTTCAAATACCGACAGACAGATATTTCGACCTACATTGGGTATCATCAGTGTAGTGGAACATACTCAAAACAAAGAACTCCTTGAGCTTATATGCTCGGTTGGTAAGCCAACAGAGGCGAGATGTAAGAACAGGTAATCCACACCGTCAAACGACGTGGCCTTTGCCGCAATCGGTACATACGATGCAACCGAGACTGCACACAGCAATTGTATCACAGATACTAATACGGCCTAAAGAAATCTAGAATTAACCCAACCGGGCTAAACATGAAGGTAAACATTCAATTTTCTTAGTTTCTTTAAGAAACTTTCTTGACCCATTACTGGTAATATTCATAAGAAAAAATTGAACCTACACCTCGCCAAAGTTTTTTGTTTTGAGTGCGTTCCACCAACTTCAAATACCGACAGATAGCTGTTTCGACCTATATTGGGTCTCATCAGTGTCGGGAAACTTGGTGTAGTGGAACACACTCAAAACAAAGGACTCCCTGAGCTTATATGCTCGGTTGGTAAGCCAACAGAGGCGAGATGTAAGAACATCAGGTGATCCACACCGTCAAACGACGTGGCCTTTGCCGCAATGGGTACATACTGCATACAGTTTTTAGTATATATTGAGGAGAACATTCTGTTAAATTTTGAACAATTTTCGTTCAGTCCCTCGCTAAAAATGGGAAATTTTTATAATAAAAATGGTATTTTCTGCAATTTGGGTACTTTTTTATAATTTTTCATTGTATATTTTAATCGATATTTATAAGTACTTTAAATAAAAAGATACACCAAATCAAATTTCCATAGCCTACTACATAATTTCAATGGTAGAAAATTCACTTTTCAGTTAAAAGAAGCGTGCATTTTGCACTAAAAAACTGCACTTGTTAAAACATTCATATAATTTTAGGTATATATTTATATAAAAAGTACATTGTTTTATGGTTAAAACAAAATATTACGCGATAAAAAATATTAATAAACAAAAAAGTTACGAAAGAATTTCTTAGAAACCGATTTGGTAATATTTTATGAAACCGGTTAACATGGCCTCGCCTAATTTCTCAGGGTGTTTAAATAAAAAAAATATTATTGTGATTTTAGTTCATCCCAAGCATTGATCTTTAAATCCTAAAACTTTTAGTAAAATCCGAAATGTCGAGCTTTTGTCATTAGGTGAAATTTCATGGAATGACTCCTATCACAGTGAGCTTTAAATTAGTGTGGGTAACTAAAAATTACAGGTCAATGTAAAATAAATTCATTCACATAACCTATAATGTCAAACCCAGGGATGGATGGGCTCGGTTCAATCGGCCCGGGAAAAATGGTGAGACTGGCAGACAGATCAATCAAAAATATTTCGGAATTTAGGGGGGCGTTATCAAAATCGGCCCACTTTTTAAAAAGTTTTAAGACAGAAGGCTTCGATTAATTTTTTACTAATTCAATGGTTTTAACATTGGGACACTAGTACTACCTAGTAAGTACTAAATAAGTACAAAAGTCAAAAGTGCAGTTTAAGAAAACATGTCATCATAACACATAAAATAATAAATACCTAGTTACACAAAACAAAATCAGAAAATTCAAATATTTCTACAAAATAACTTATTCATAAATCAATCGCGACTAAAACTAATATAATAATGCTTTTTTCAAAGCTGGCTAGCTTTCATTACCTCTTTATTGGAAATCAGATTGCGCAAACGATTTTTAATGTTTTTCATGATTAAAGCAAGTTGGGAAATAGGCAAAGTATATAATATGCATATTAGGGCACGGCCTATTTTTGAAAAGATAAAATGTCCCATCCGGCCAAAAATGATCAAAATAGGAGCATCGCAAACCATTTTTTCTGAATGTTTTAAATATTTCAAACACATTCGAATATTCTATCGTATGGTTTCAAAAATTGGTTTTTGATACTCCTTATAAACTGTGCGAAGTTTGAGAACCTTTCATATAGGTATTATTGTTCGGGCATTTTTAAAGATAAGAAAATTAAATCCAGTAAAAATATTAATTAATCCCGGCACATTCGCCATTTTTGCAACGATTTTCTAAAAATATCATTATGAGGTTAGCTAATTTGCAAAGAATATTTTTAAATTATATACCTAAAGCTTTTTCATCAGTCTGCATTTTAATGAAAACCGAATAAAACTAACCATAGTAATTTATGAGATGAGCGCAGTAGGGTTTAGAGATATTTATTTTTACATTTTAACGTCGCGTCGTCGATATCTTTACCTTAAAAAACACCCTTTACTATTTTTCATAAAAAACTTTGAAATCCCAAAAAACGTCATGTCTTTGTTATTTAAAAAAATAATTTTGCAGGTAACTATTTAATAACTGCTAATATTCTCATAGAAAAAAATCCATTACAATTCGTCAAATAAACGTTTACAACCGTCCAAAAAACCTTTATGCCCCACATACGAGCTGTCGAGCATTTCAACCGAAACACACACACTTTCAGCACCTCTATTCAAGCTACATTTTAATTTGGCGCGCCAGTCCCGAGCCAGCACCGTGCTACGCTCTCGTTCTCCGTACGAGTTATTAAATTGCCCATTTAAACGGGGCACACATTTTATCGTCGAACTAATTCAAATGCTCGAACTTTTCGAATAAAAAAAAGTAGAATCCACGGGCCCGAAAGCTTGGTATTTAACTGTAGATATGTCTACTATAGGGGGAGGGAGAAATACATAAAAAATGTCAATTTCATTAAATTAAAGTATTGAAAAGTATTTTTAAATACTTTTTAATGGTGTCATACAGTTTTTTTAGAGATGGAAGGTTTATTTAAAAAATCTTTCAATTTTTAAAGTTATTTCTTCTAAAAAAAATCCTTGACCTGCATATGAATATAAATAACAGCACATTCTAACGTGGTCTTTCGACGAAGTTTTCCGCAGCAGTGAGGCGGGGGCGGCACACAGGGCCGCCCCCAGGGGAACGTAACCTGACCGTATACAGACCGGCCTTTTTCCAAACACACATACTCATGGGTACAGAGTAAAAGACTTTGGTTTTTTATTTTCGGAAACTGAGCAGACCATATACGGTCAACATGAATAAATTCTCCAAGGAATATCAACCCACAGGACACCAGAAAGTACAGTGAAATAATTAAAAATGTGAGTATTTGTAGATACTTTTTTATCATGAAAATCGCTACTGTTAAAAAACGTATTTTTGATAAGAAATGTAAATTAATATTAAATATTTTTAAAAGAATACCTTTTAGCTGATGCTGCAAATTTTTTTAGTCGAATAGTATATTACTTAGTTAAGGATTTCCCGGACATTTTTCCCATTAGTTAATTGAAATTAAAACATTAGTTTATAGTAATAACTATAGTATTATAATAAAAACTAATAAAGTATTAAATAAACTAGTGCGGGTAACTTACCTATAAACACGAAGATCTGGTGATGTGAGTAACGGAGAAGCATGGACACGGAGACTGTCTGCAATAAAAATTAAAAATTATTGAAAAAGTAAAAACAATCAAATTTGATCTGTTATTATTTTCTCACAAAAATTATTTTTAAACTGATTTTTTTAATAGAATCTTAAATTTTTACAAAATGCTAGAAAAAATTGATAAAATAATATTTATGTTATTAGGAAAAGAAGTCAATCTTTTAGTGCTGATTTCAATGTATAGGGGGTTCTTTTTTCAAAACTTTAATTTTTGTGGGGCACTTGTAATGAAAATATTTAAAAAAAAACTACTGATTCGTTACGAGGATAAGTGTACCTAAAAATCTAGGGTAGAAAGAACTGGCTCAATAAAGCCGTTTGGAAAATAAAAAATGGGTTTTTTAAAAAAAGAACCCCCTGTACATTGAAAAGCAGTAACTTTTGAAAAAAGTTTAGTACCTTAAAAAATCGTCCATTCGGTTATGTTTAATTACCGTAAGGTTTGGGATCGATTACTTTTAAAATTAGGCTATAATAAAAAAAAAAGTGATTTTGAAAGCAACGCTCAACTTTGCACAATGCACATAGCAAAAGTGCACACCATATAGGTGCGCAATAGGGTTTAACGTGTGCCTTATTTAGTACATAAAAAAGCAAAAAAACTCCCCTTTCGGTGGATGAAATTAGGGGACGCGGAAAGAATTTTTTGGGGAATATTCTTAATTCATTATCAGCACCCATGACTCTACATAAAAAAAAATAAAACCCGACTACCATCGAGTTTTCCTTCTACAATCTTTGTTTTATCTACGATGAACACAACGTACTTCTTCCATTACTTCTTTGTTCTCTCTGTGGACACTGATACAAATTTTAACGTCTCATGGTTTTAGCAAGCTACATCCGCCATTTGACAATATGAAAATTTTAATCTTGAAACATCCACTCAATCCGTTGTACAAATCACAAAATATCTCTAAAAGGTCAAAGCTTGCGATATTGTCCAAAAATACAGGTATATTTCTATACCGGGACCCCCATCTTGTCTCTCACAGGTATAGAAGTCACATTAATTTCAATATTTTATTGAGCAACCGAACACTACGAGCAACAAAACGGAAGTCTGAACACAAAGTATTATTTTTCAGAATGTTATTTGTTAAACAATTGACATTTGACAACTATCAGATGAATTTAACCTCACTTTTTACCAATTTATAATAATGCCAAATTCAGCTCGTGACTAAAATGCCCGAAAGCCACTGTTGTAAATCTGAGCACGTGACTAAAAGGCCATAACGTCACAGCTTTTCGATATGGGAGTAGATAATAGTATATTATGTATCAAGTTTTATAAACGCCAGTTTAGACACGAATTTAAGCGAGCTTGCGAGCGAGTGCTTAATTAAATGAGTGTCTAGAAAAGTTTATAAACGAGTTGCATACTATACTTTTTAAACGACAAATACTTATTAATATCTAAAAATTATTTAAATTAAATATTTTTATAGAGCGACATCTATAAAACAATAGAGTAACCAACTTAAGAATGTGTAATAAAGTCAAATGAAAAACTTTTATGTGTAAATCTAAATGTATCCCTTGAAAATGAACCGTTTATTCCAATAAAGCAGTTTTTCACAGTGAAATTAAAGAAAATGTTTTATTGGCACTCCACGGTGGCCGAAACTAAGTTATAGTTTACTGCCCGCGAAATTAAAAGGTCATATAAACTTTTCAAATATTGGCACTAAGAAATTGCATTTACACTACATTACATTACATTTAGTATTATTTTACTAGAACAACTTTATTATAACGATTGTATGACATTTGACAACTGTCAATTAACTTTAAACCAACTAAGGGCCGGTTTTTCAATCGTTGGTTAAGTTTATCTTAAGGTTAACTTTCTTATATTAGCAAATGAAGGTATTTAAAAAAATACGTGTTGTATAAACTGTATACCTGAGGGCATTAATTAAACTTTACAATTTTAGAAATACTACGGATTTGGAAAGCCCTCTCTAATATAATTTTACAATATTATTAATATTATTTTTAGTATTAAAATAAATTTAGTAAAACAGATTTATAGGTCAATTCTGCGCACATCTGTAAGCATCTATAAGCAAATCTGTAACTTTCTATAAGCTTATACACTGAAAAAAATTTAGTTCATAATGGGCCCATTGATGTAACTTTCTTGCTAACTGGTCCGCTAAAAATATCACCAGAAAAGAAATAAGTTTTAGTTTGCGTTTGATTACCTGACAAGCTCATACGTTTCATTTAATATAGTCTTGTTTCCCCCACTACGTGTGTTCCCCTGTTCATTTTTACAATAACAAAGCAGCCATGACTCATAAATCAATTTTAACAGATTCTAACCTCGAAATTTTAGCAAGAGCTTCAGAGCTCCCGATAACTTAGCCAGAGTTTTGAATTTAGCGCCACAATCGTGGCGTGGAAGGTTCAACCTTCAAGGTTGGTACCGGCATGTTTATAACCTATAAATTTTCGTGAAACGTTTATCTTTGGTTTGTAGTTAATTAACTAATTGCTAGTCAAAAATGAACGATTTGGGTAATGAAATCGAGCAACTAATTGTGGAAGAAATCGAGGAAATGATAGTTGGTGAAAATCAAAGGTTAGTATTAATTAATTGATTAATTGATTGGTAAGTACCAACACATTAAACATGTTTTGTATGCCTTGGTGAATATTTTGTACGTAAAATAGTGGCATTCAATTGTAAAAACTTGAATTTGTTTATTCAAATAATTTTAGTATGTTTCCCATATATGTATGTAAGTATTACAATAAACAAATTAAAATAAATAAATTCGAGTCTTTGCAATTTAATTACTACAAACTATTAATTTTAAGGTAAGCCAAAATTTACTGGAAGAACGATTTATATAAATTGCACTCTCATTAATATTAATTTTTATATTTTTAGTCATAAACTTAATTTGCAACGGAGAAGGCTACGTGATGACAGCAATCCTTTTAATTTGGAAAATAAAATGTTTTTGCGATATTTTAGGGTAACTAAAATTGTTGCAGAACAAATATTTTTTAAATTAGAACCATTCTTAACGCAGGGGCAATGGAAAACTGCAATTTCTGTTGAACTAAAGGTAAATTATTGAAGTATTACTAATTTATATTGCAAAATGCAATAATAATAAAAACATCCATTCTAAAATAATATTTAAAAATATACAGGGTGTCCTCTAATTAATGGTAAAACGACAGATTCTTTAGGTAAAAATATTACTCCCAAAATTTAACCATTGACAAGTTAATACAGCACATAGGGTGAACTAGTTAAAAGTTTATTTAAAAAAAAATGATTTTGCACAAAGTTTGGTATTTGGGTATTTTTCAGAGCAGAAATTTTAAATTTCCAAAAAAAATAAAGTAGATTTTAAAGAGGGCTGTCTGCAACACATTGCATATAGCCTATTTTTTTACTTTTTTAGGTTGCTACATCAATTTAAAATGTCAAAATCCTGTTGCCTGATGTACCTGAATTAACAATTTTAAAAAATAGGCAAAGGAAAAACTTTATTTTACTTTAAACAAATACAATGTTTCGCATACAGCCCTGAAAAGTATCAAATTTTGTGCAAACGTAGGTTTTTTTCCAAAAATGTTTAAAAATTTGACACCCTACATCTTCGTTATAATCAACTTTTGAACATGGGTAAATAATTGTAAATCTGGTTTTGTCATTAATTAGTGGACACCCTGTATGTTTATTTTGAGTAAATTATAAATATCTATGCATTTGTTTTATTTTAATTATTTGTGTTGTTTGCACTTTGTAGGTTCAAAACCATGTTTAATCTTCTGGGGGTGATTTGCCATTTTTGCACCCATGTGGCAATTGTGGCTCCTGCTGCTGAAGACCCTGTAAGGGGTATTACAGCCTTAATGTTCAAATGGTATTTAGCAATGATTTTAATAATATTTAATTCGCAATAATACTAAGTATATTTTTTAGATTTGTGACCATGAGTTTAGAATTCTAAACTGCAATGCAAGATTTCCAGGCTCAACTCATGATTCTGGAATTTGGGCATTAAGTTTGGTAAGAAATATGTTGCATGAGCAATGTGTTTCAGGACAGTGGAATTATGAGTGGCTAATTGGTATGATAAATGTTTTATATATTTTTTAATAATTATTTACATATGTGTAATATGGTTTATTAGCATAGAAAAGGTTCTGTAGATACATATATATATATATATATATATATATATATATGTGTGTACTGAGCCTTTTCTATGCTAATAAACCAAACATACCAACATATACAGGGTTTCCCATAATTAGCATGCAATACTTTAACAGCAGGTTCTACGCATATAAGTAAGAAAAAAAGTTCCCATTAAAATAGGTCAAGAAATGTTTCCCAAGGGAGCTACAGCCCCCGAAAGAGAAGCCCCTGAAGATGTTTTTTATTTAATATCTCCAAAACCGTTAAAGAGAAAAGTAAAATTTTGGGATATAATCAAACTTTTTATGTTGTTGGAATGATAACAAATTCAACATTTTCTTTCATAAGGGGTGGGTCAGATAGATAGGGAGTGTGGGTAAAACTACCCTAACTTTTTTGTACGTATCTTGAGCTATTATTTGATATGAGATCATAAAATTTTAGAGTTTTACACATAAAAAAGGTCCCCTTGATGAACTTCAATAGCATGGCACTGTTTTTGCTTAAAATCGAAAATTCATAATGAAATCACAACTGGAGAAAAAGATTCAGCGTAGGCCATGGACAATTTTTAAACATGGCCATGGACAATTTTTAAACACCCTGTCACATAGTACATGAAACTGTCACCTGTCTTAAATAATTTTTCATAAAAATGGCAGCTGTGTTCCATGGCCTACGCTGATTTTTTTTCTATTGTGAATTCATTATGATCATTTATGGCATGTAATGTAATTTTTAAATTGATTTTAAGCTAAAACAGTGGATAATATCAAAGTTTAACAAGAGGACCTTTTTTGTGTGTAAAACTCC